CCAAAAAATCACAAAGGTTCACCTGCCTCTGCCTCCTGAGTGCTGAGATTAAGGCGTGCACCAGCCCAGCTTGTTGTTCTCTTTTGAGCTAGTGAATATTGCTTGGCTTTTTCTCTAGTCTATGCCCAAACCCCTGTTTTTGGACTTCTAGCCATTTGCACCCATCCCAACATACATCTCTCAACCTGGCTTCTCCTAATCTAGAGGAGTCTCCCTGAGACACATAATTTGCTTGAGCTATAACTTTATTCATAGGAATTCAGCATCCATTTTAGAATGATGTACTATGATGATATCCTTTCATTAAATTTCACATTCCTCTAGCTTTTCAATCAAACCATCAGTGAGTTCACAGCCTTTTTTTTTTTTTTTTTTTTTTGAGAAAAGTATTGTTACCAATTCCCTATTATCTCCATTCCACTAGTAGTGCCCAGAAAGCTTTCCCTCCTCACTGTGTGCTTTGTGATCCTGCTTAATGTTCTCCTGCTGAAATGATTGTTACCGAGCTTGGTCTGTGAAGCAGTCATAATTTATTCCCCACATACACTGTCAGACGACTGGGCCTGGTCGGTCTCTTTTACCAGCAGCATTCTTAGTGCCCTGTCTTGCTCCTTGCTTTAGAATCCCATCACGATGGGAGCCTGTGTCTTTTCCAGCAGGTGGCAATAGTGTTCTGTTAGCCCCTCTCCTGTCAGCATCACCAGCTTTTACCACCTTTCAACAAAGACCTGCCATAAACTGACTTTAGAAAGCTTTTAGGGAAAAAATACAAGTGCACAACCCTGAACTGGTTTTCTCCTCTCCTTTTCAAACTAGAATGCACCTTCCCATTGCAATCTTTATTTCAGCTGCCATACTGCAGGCTCTGTTAGCTAAACTGAGAATATCACTACGTTTGTTGGGTTTTAAAAAGTATTTTATGTTTATTTTGTGAGTATATTGCCTACATGTAAGGACACCCATGTTGTACAATGGTCACAGAGGTCAGAAGACAGCATAGGACCCCCTGGAACTGGAGTTACGGACAGTTGTTAGCCTCCATAGGGGTGCTGGGAACAGAACTAGGAACAGCCATTTTTCATGAACTGCTGAGCCATCTCTTCAGCCCGCTTTTTTTTTTAAATCAGAATTGAAAATTCAGTTTATTGAGCTCAACACACTTGTTTCGAGTACCACCTAGTTGTTCTGTCATGATTTGATCATAGGCTTATGTGCCTAGACATCAGATTAAAATAGATTCCCTATAAATCTATTCCCTAAATTCATGTAAAAGCAAGTTAAAACTTATATGTCATCTAGGTTTATAGAATATTTCAACTGTGGCATAGATGCATATAAAAAGAAACATTTAAAATGTTGCTGGGGCTGGAGAGATGGCTCAGCTGTTAAGAGCACTGGCTGTTCTTGCAGAAGACCTGGGTTCAAATTCCAGCACACACGGCAGCTAACAACCCTTTGTAACTCCAGTTCCAGAGGATCTGATGCCCTCTTCTGACCTCCGCAGGCATTGTACAACATGAGTGCACCTATCTACATGCAGGCAAACACTCAGACACATAAAATAAAAATAATAAAATATTAAAAACTAATAAAAAAATAAAACATGTTGCTCCTTTGATACTGCCCCTATAGAGGTCAGGCATGGGGTAGGTAGGAAAAGGAAAAACCTTAACAGGAAAAGTGGAATAGTCCTAAATTACTCTAAAAGGAAAGGAAAAACAAGACTACCCGTTTTTCCTTGTTGCATTCACTTCCACATGCTTTTTCTCATCTTTCCCCTATAGCTCTAGCTTTGTCTTGGACTGTTGTCTTGCGTAATTTGTGCTTACAAATGTATTCTGAATCTTTTTTTCAGTCTATACCAAAACTCACCTTTCCTGGTGGCTTACTAATTGGTTGTAGCCCTGGTTTCATGAATGTTCCCAAGATCAAAGGTACTCACACAGCAATGAAAAGTGGAAGCTTGGCAGCAGAATCCATTTTCAATCAACTAACTAGTGAAAATATCCAATCAAAGACAACAGGTGAGAAAGCCCTTCTACAGGAAAGAAAATTGTCAGGTTTTATGTTTCAGTGTTGGTCAGATATATGGTGCCTGTTCCTTTAAGGTGTGTGTTCTATAAGATGACAGCTACATAACCAACTTATTTGTGATACAGTCAGAAAACTTTAAAACGATGTGATTTTATTCATATCAAAAGTATAGTACCTGAGGCTGGAGAGATGACTCATCAGTTAAAAACACTGGCTGCTTTTGCAGACTCAGGTTCAGTTCCCAACAGCCATATGGGGGCTAACAACCATCTGTACCTCCAGTTCCAGAGACTCTGATGCTCTCTTCTGGCTTCTGTGGGCATTGTAGGACCCACGTGTACTTACATACACATAAGATAAAAATAAACTTAAAAAATTATTTTTTTGTACCACAGATGTACTTACCCGCAGTCTTTCAAATTTGATGGTACTGCATTTGCATTGCATACATGGAATATAGACAAAAAGGTACCACACAGAATCCCAAGTATTAGGCTGGAAATAGAGCAGCTTTGAAAAGGCAGAATCAGCCACCTGATTCTTTGCACTGTAGGCAAAGCATAGGACTCTTCTGCTGTAGTAAGGAATAGCCAGCCCGTACCACTTCAGAAAACCCTTAATCTAAAAGACCCTCTAGCCTGGGGAAGGAAGGGGGCCCACACCTTTAATCTCAGCACTTGGCAGAGGCAGGCAGATCTCTGAGTTATAGGCCAGCCTGGTCTACATAGCAAGTTCCAAGCCAGCCAGTGCTACATACTGAAATCCTGTCAGAAATGAAAAATAATCAGAGAACCCTCTAGCAAATATGTTTGTCTAAAAGCCAGTTTTCCCTTTAAGTTCCTTATTTTATTACTATTATTGTACATGTAATCTGTGTAGCCGGAGGGCATGCACATGCCAACAGTGCAACATATGGAGGTCAGAGAACAACTTTTGGGAGTCATTTCAACCCCAGTAAGCACTTTTACCAAACACTGAGCTATCTCATTATTCCCAAAAGAAACCTCCCAGGAACAGTATATAATCTGATCATAAAGCATTGCCAATACAACCTCAACTCCATGGTTAACCAGATTTTTTTTTTTTTTTTTTGCGGGGGGCGGGACCTGCTTATTGTGGTTGCGTTTTTGTTGTTTGCTGGTACTGGGGATTACGCCTCATGCATACTAGTTAATTATACGCTGTCCACTGAGCTACATCCTCTAGCTGTTGACTTCATTTCTAAAACCTTCTGTCCTAGCCACACTGGTCTCTTCACAGTTCCTGAACATACCTTGTGTGTTCTCATCTCAGAGTATGCCTCTAACCAGCCACTTGGCCAATTCAGATCTCACTCCATTGGCTATGTCTTAACTACACCAATTGTAATACACACAGCACTACTATCCTCCTTTCACCGTTTATCATTAGTTTGGCACACTATATAATTTAACTACTGTTGTCTTTTGCCACTTGGAGTAAAACTCCAGAAAAGCAAGGACTGTTCATTTTTAATTCTAAACACTTAGCGTATAGTAGCAACTCAACAGATGTTATAAATAACCCTTATTCCTTAAAATCACAGATGTGTTCCTCTAGTTAGAATTAGCAACTCAGACAGGGTACAGCTCAACGGTAGGGGCACTGCCTAGCATGCACAGGTTTGATTGATCCCTACAACTTAAAAATAAAGTGAGCAACCTTGGTTCTGCTTTCAAATATGTAAGAATGGAGGGCTAGCACACGAGCATGGAAGGGAGAAGACAAGCCTCCAAAAGGCAAGAAGATGCTTTAGGGGAGAACAGGATAGGCAAGATGGAATGCAGTGGTTAGTATTACTTTCTCTGATTTTCTTGTCAAGTTCTCTTTGTGGAACCACCATGTACACACAGTGCCAGGCAGTACTAGAACTTAGGTACCATAAAAGACAAAATCAGGGGCTAGAGAGATGGCTCAGCGGTTGAGAACACCGACTGTCCTTGCAGAAGACCTGGGTTCAAATCCCAGCACCCACATGGCAGGTAACAACTGTCTGTAACTCCAGTTCCAGGGGATCTGACAGCCTCTTCTGTCCTCTGTGGGCATTGCACGACACGGGTGCACTTACCTACATGCAGGCATAACACTCATACACATAA